TGTATCCAGAGAGTTCAGTGCCGTCACCTGACTCAGCAAGGGTTTAGTACAGATAAAGACAGGAATTTCAGAAGGAAGATGTGAACTGCCTACTAATTTGCTTTCTGTTTTATAGCTATAGAATGTCTCCACACCTGGGTAACAGCAGTTCACATGAACAGGCTGCTGTACGTTATGCGTCAGAATCCATTGGCTCCCTTGCTGTCTTCATTTTTGTGTTCATCATCGGTATCCCAGGCAATGGGTTAGTGATCTGGGTAGCTGGCCTGAAAATGAAGAGGTCTGTGAATGTTGTCTGGTTCCTAAACCTTGCTGTGGCTGATTTCATGTGCTGCTTGTCTTTGCCATTTTTCATTGTTCACCTGGTCCTCCATGAACACTGGCCATATGGCTGGTTCCTCTGCAAAGTCATTCCATCAGTCATCATATTCACCATGTTTGCTAGTGTTTTCCTACTCATGGCCATCAGCATTGACCGGTGCCTCCTTGTAAGGAAACCTGTCTGGTGTCAAAATCATCGAACAGTGAAGTTTGTATCACTAATGTGCAGTGGCATTTGGATTCTGGCCTTCATTTTCTGCTGTCCTGTCTTTCACTACCGTGAGACTATCACTTATGATGGCAAAACTGAGTGTGGGTACAACTTTAAAGATGATAAAATGCTAGATTATATGGATGATGATGATCTTGTAAATGAATCATTGGAAGAATACTCACCTTTAATACCAACTGGCACCTATGATCGCACCATCTTCACTCATCAACCTGTTGACGATTATCCAGATTTCCAGACAGAGAGCATATCCACCAACAAAGACATAATCACAACATCCCAGATTCTGTATTCTACAGTACCAGTAGACATAAACTTGCTGTTAACTTCCACTGCCTATCCTGACATCAAGCTGTTCAAATCTCCTAGTGGTCTGCCTAGTGCAGACTTGTCTGCACCATCCAACACTGACCTCCATTTAAAGCTACCTGACTTTCCTGATGGTTTGCTTGATTTTGACAATGTGTACAGTGCTAATGACTCACTGGGAAACTTCTATGAGGATTATTCTGTACCTCTCCCATTAATGGTCATAACCATCACCAGGACTGTCTTTGGCTTCCTACTCCCCTTCAGCATAATGGCAGTTTGCTATGCCCTTATTGCTTTCAGAATGCTTGCAAAGCAGTTTCACAAGCAACACAGCAAGATGCTGCGAGTGATCTTGCTTGTGGTAGCTGCATTCTTTGTCTGCTGGGCTCCGTACCATGTAGTTGGGATTCTGTCCTTTGTAGCTACTCCTGGAACAGGACTGAGGGAATCATTGATCCTCTGGGATCACCTCTCTACAGCACTGGCATATGTTAACAGCTGCATCAACCCCCTGCTCTATGTTTTTGTGGGGCGGGACTTCAGGGCAAAGGCACGACAATCAGTGCAGGGAATCTTGGAAGGTGCCTTTGTTGAGGAACTAACACATTCAACCCCTTACTCCCTTGACAGAAGTAAGATGTCAACAGATAAGGATGTTAGCATAGTCTAATGCAAGACTTCACACCACCACTGCAGGGACAAAGAGTGCATCATTGACTTTCCACTTACAGCTTTTTTTTCTCTCTAACACATTTAATTAATCTGCAGAACTGCACAGAGAGCACTGAGATAGTTCACACAAGAACTGCTAACTCCCCTTTATATCCTCTTCTATAAAGACAGGGAATTGAAATACCAAGAGTAATCATCTCTGAGGGAAGACATTGGTGAGGAAGACCACTCAGAGTACGTTAACCTTTAAAGAAGAAAGAAGGCTTGCAAAATGATTTGTGGGGGGAATCATATAATTTAACCTCTGAAATACTAGATGACTATGTTATTAAAGTTATTTGAATATTATATCTATCATGGATGTTTTGCATTTCCTGTTTCTGATAAACTGCAGACAGAACTAGCTTTGATGTCTCTCCTTGAAATCTGTCAACTCACCTTACCTCTCCTTTACCTGTACTTGGGACTGGAGGATTTTTTTTTATTTTTATTTTTTTGCTGAAGATGTATGTACCTAGAGGGAAGTGCTACCTTTTCTCACAACAGCGTGTTGGAACTTCACTTTCCCCAGACATGATTTTCATGCCAGTGGATGCCCAAGATATTTCTTAAGTCTCAGCAAATACATCACTGTACACTAGTAACTAATCAATTCACATGCTATAGGTTTGTTCATTAACATGCACTCACTCAATCTCTCCCTAACACTCTCTTTACCACTAGAGTCCCACATCATCTTTTGAGGATGTGGTCTGAGATAATCTGAATGTCCCTACTGCATTTTAAGACAGTACACAAAAAGAATTTGAACATGTGCAGTCATTCAAATTAGGGTGCCCCTGGTCTATCATCCTTTTAGTGAAACCTTGGAATTGAGAAGTGATATCCTGTATTCTAACTGCAGGAGGGTGCTGTTGAGGCTCACCATGTCTTGTTCCCTACCATGTCTTTATAAAAAGTGTTCCACTCAGGTTCTTTTGGAGTATTGCCCAAGCTACAGCATTCCCTACTTCTGAAAAGCAGAAATATGTGGTTTAAAATGTGCTTTTGTTGTTAGTTCCTCCTTAAAGAAGTATGGTCAACAAATGGTATGATGAACAACCACTAAGCTTTGGTGTAGTCTTCACGATGTCTTTCTGGCAGGCATACCACTGACAGAAAAAGTAGGTTGGAAGACTCGCTGATCTCGGTGCTGTGCAAACACCCAGCTGTGAGAACTTCTAGTCTTTCTCATGACAACCTAAAATGTCTCTGTTGTAAGGTACATATTTGTGTGGGCTGTCAGCTCAGCAATGTCCACACCCAATTCTGTCTATAAGGTAAGTAGGTGGGAGACAAACCAATCTCACCAGGCGCCGCTGAAAAAAAAAAATCAATACTGGCACCAAAGGAGTTAAACCATAAACATTCACTTTTTTTTTTTATTAAGAAAGCATGCAAAAAAATAAACTCGTGAGACCACGCCCCTCTCTCCCTGACCACTGACACAAAGCGTTGTGGGCCACCCCACAGTGGAAAGGCATACACGAACATTGGCAGACCAATCTCTGCAGGCCACATCCCTTCGCTCCCAGCAAGCTGTTACCAGCTTGCAGTGCAGAGCTCCAGATGCCCAAACTGATGCCTTCCCACATGCTAACCATGCGCATTTATTTCGAGGGCAGAGGAACGAGGCTAATTTGCACACTGACCGGCATATATTTACATATGCAAATGAGGCGCAACTGAATATGCAAATGAGGCAAATATGCAAATGAGGAGCAATTGGCTATGCAGAAGGAGCCATCTTGGTTTGTTTTTCTTCCAGGTGGTGTTTTCAGTCTTTTACAGGGCTGGCTTTCAGTAACATCCTCTGCAAAGCACTAACTGGCACCTAGGAGAAGCTGTCTCTGGTGTCACGTTCCACAGAAACCCAATCATACATGCTTCCAAGTTTTATCATTCCCATCCTGAGCAGCAGAGATAACAGCTGACTCCATGTTGAAGTTGGCTCTAGGATTCCTCATTTCTCTTGGAAACACTCAACGATGAACTCCCCCACCCTGCCACACACACTTAAAAAAGAAAAAAAAAACAAAACAAAAAAAAAACAAAAATGCCCCCCCTCCCCTCCCTCCCGTCCAATGAGACTCTGTCCACTTCCTTGACAAAGATCCAATTGGTTTATCCCTACAGCGAATTCAAAAAGCAATGCTAAACTACCTCCCCTGCCCCAGGCATGTCAAGCCCCCATGAGATGTTTTACTTCCATCTTGGTTCCCCTCACTGGTAAAGAGGGAATAAGGGCAGGGGGAGGCTTTACAAAATATAAAGAGGAAACAAGAGGTTTAACAGAACAGAGCCATACCAGAAAAAGGGGAACCAAGGACACAGCTTAGGGGAGGAAGCATCTCAACACTCACTCCTGCTCCCGCACCTTTTCCACCTTCCTGCTTTGCAAGTGCTGACAAGAACCCATCCTTTAGGACTTACAATCTATACCATCATCTCCCCAGCTGAACTGCAAGAGGTCTGCCTCATCCTCCTCCCCTTTATATTCTACTCCTTTGCTGTTCAGTTTAAAAATCTTCCCCACTTTTCTTCCCTCTTCTAATGCATCTCTTACAAACATATCACTTGTGAGGGCCTCCCAATTACTTGACTGGAGGGCTCCAGCCCCTTGACTGAAAGTCCCCTAATTCACCTCCATTCTGAGTAGCAGCTTCCTCTTTCCACCTTTAGCCCATTCACTAAATGGGAACCACTGACCGAGAATTTATATCTACGCAGGCAAGACTGTTGCTGGCATTCTCAAACCACAGGCAAGGACAGTCTCCAAAGAGATAAGAGAGGGAGAGGGCCAAATAATAACCAAACAAATACTGATGGTATGAGAGAACTTCCTGATTTGCATAGGCAGGTAAGAGCCTCACTGCATATTTTGAAGGAGGGCTTGAAGGGGTTGGGGTAAAATTAAAAGTTCTGGGGAACAGAATTTGATGAATCATATATGACCTCCCTCAACTGCTGGTGCAAAAGACACCTGCTAAGCTTCTCTTACATGATAGGTATGTAGGCTTCACCTCCCCGGAAACTGCAAAAGGCAGTGTAGAAAACAGATCAGGATTCCCTCAAAATCTCTTTAGGTTCTCATAAATGGCACTGCATTCTGAAACCCATCTCTGCTGAAATGTCTTCTCTGCTATAGATTCTCTTTTCTCCACACTCAGATCTTCCCTCTCCCAGCTCAGTCCAGCTCTCCCTACCTCAGAGACTGCCCTCTCTTTGTACTTGGGATCTTTACTTCTTTTCTTGCTTTTTCCTGCTGGTGCGAGAAAGTTCACAGAGCTAAGATCACCCCTCCAGTGTCCCTTTAACCCCCTGACCTTTACAACATTTAAGAAACAACATAGTTACAGGCTCCCAGGGTCCACTAGGCTCTCCCACTCCAGTAGCCAATATGACAGATTCACTGTTTAAGGAAAAGAGGGATTGTTAAAAGCAAAATGAAGGAGGCAGAGAAAGATGCACTCGAGGATTCAGCCTTCCGAGGTCTTTTCATGGCACCAGGGAGCCATCGCTCCACCCTCCACAGGGCGCCACGCAACACGAAAGAGCTGATCTGATGCGTTGGAGGCCACCAGAGGAGGGGGAGGGCTGTGCTCAATTACTGCTAGTAGTAGTAGTAGTAATAATAATAATAATAATAATAATAAACAAAAGAAGAAGATAAACAGGACGCAAGGAAGGATTATCTTCGGCAGCATCTTGCGGTGGCTTCTCTGGCAGAGTTAGAGAATATATATCTATATACAGGCAAGGCAGGGAGGCTGGGGAAGATGGTGGTGACACCATTCACCCCACGTCCCCCTTCCCTCCCGCGTCCTCCACGAAGGACGGGCTCTCAAGTCTGTAACTCGCTAGGTGATCAAGTCCCAGTCGAAATCATCGGGGATTTCCTCACTGGCGCCTGGAGGCGGCCCTGGAGGCCGAGGGACCAAATGGTGAGCTGAACCAAAAACAGGGAGAAAGAAGAGAAGGGAAACAGAACAGTTAGAAGGAAAAAGTCATGCTTTTTCACAGCAGGCTCTTGGGCAAAAGAAAAAATAAGGGATTCAGGCAGTGTGGGCTTTTCCCCACAGTTGAACAAGCTAAAACACTATTGGAACAAATTTCTCCCTCACAGATAGCACCTACTAAAGTCTGTAGGTAGGAGATGCTGTGCTGTGAACTTCTTCACAGAAGCACCTACACAGTTAATTTGCAGCCTCCTTAACTTTCCTCACGCCTGATCGCTGATAGAGCACAAAGTACTTCAGCAACAGGAGCTTCCCCATGTCAAGTCGTCTTCAAGCAACTGACCGAGGGTGAAGCTAGGCTAGGAAACCATTTATATGAAGTGAAAAAAATCAGGCCACTGTAATTCTAAACCCTGCCAGAGCAATGGCACAGCCCTTCCAGAGGATCTCTTGCAGTCCAGGCTCCTTCTCCACCCTCAGTGCTCCATCTGACTAGCAAGTGCTTTAGGAGAGACACATAGAGGTTTTGGGAACCACTTCTCCAATGTTTATTGGTATAATACGCCTTAATGTTACCCCCTACCTGGGCGATTATATCCTGGAGAGTCCTGGGTGGAAATCTGGTACATAGGAGATGGCCCGGAGAAGAGATGGGGAGGCTGCGGCTGACCATAGGAGTTCACTGTGAAAAGAAAGGAATAAAAAACTGTTAGTATTCTGGTCAGCTGTCTTCACCCTGACTGGGTGACAGCTCAGCAACAGTGGAATTCCCTCAGACCCAGGAGATACTGAGGATACAATCAGTTATTGGGTCCTTACTGCAAGCTATAGCTTGGTCAGGGATCTTGCTCTGGGTACCAGCGAGAGATTTTCTATTGTTGTAAAAGAATAAAATTTTCATTCAGAAATACCAGAAGCTGGCTCAAAATCAGCCGCTCAGTTCAGTACTAGGTGATATACACCATCACAGTTGTATCAAGACCATGATACATGATACCTCTGTGCTGTTCTCACTTCCTGTATAACTTCCTACTCTTTGTCCAGGCAGCCCTCTGCCAATATGGGGGCAAGAACTCCTGCCATGTGGAATAGCAGCCTTTTTACCTTGCCATTCCTTTCTGCTTGTTAACTACAGAAAACAAACTCCCTGTCTGCTTCTGTCAGTTTATTTTTTAGATGTATTTCTGTTGGGATACGCTGCCTTTCTGGTATGCATCACACGATGATGTTGTTTCTAGGCCAGAGACATTAAAGCCAGATGAGGGTAAGCAGGTACGAACAGCTCTGACAAAGGTCACAAACAGGCAAGCCCTGAGTTGCTTGGTGCCACTGCCTGGCAAGGTGGCAAGCTGTTTGGGATATTCACAGAATTGGGCCTTCATTTAAATGATGTTTTACTCTACCTCCTAATTACCTTGGTTCATGGACTGCTCCTGCTTGCCACTGTTCAGGGCACAAGAATCAGAGATTCGGGGGGGCTGTTGTGGGCCAACCAGATGAGGGAGCTGACCAGTCTGGGTAAGGAAGTGATTGAGGGAGTCACAGAGGTTGGCAATATGGTGTTGATCCAGCGTCCAGTTCTTCCGCTCAGCCTGGCGCAGACTCTCCATCAGCTCTGCAGAGGACAGGGGACAGTGTCAAAGCCAGCACTTACACTGGTCTCTCCCCTTGACTCTGGGGGAATCCCTGCAAGTAGCTGCTGTCTTCTAGCCCTAAAATTTCACCTTCTCCCTGCAAACCCAACTTCTTCCTTTCTTATCAGTCACAGGACACCTGGAGAGCTCCCTTTTCAGAGTATTGTCTCAATGACTCAGGTTAGGGGAGGGAGGAGCAGAAGGGAAACTCTCTTACCAGCTCTCCATGATACTTTTATGAATTAGTTCCCCCTGCCTCAGATTTGTAGAGTGTTCAAGCGATTTATGGTCTTTAACAGAACCCATGAAGTAGGACATCTCATTTTATAAACAGAAGAGTGGAGTCACTGAGAAACCTACAGACTTGACAAGGTTATAGTGAAAAAAAATCTGAGCACAGGACTCCCAAATGCTAGACTACTGCCCCTAGTCACTGAGTCACTAGGCCAACACTGACCTGAGAACTGGGAGTGCTCAATGCTAGACCAGTTCAGCCGGTTTACCATCTTGAAGCTTTCTTTCAAGGAATCAATGTTGGAGCACCAATCAGGGGGAAATGCTGGAATGAGATGGGGACAAGATTATTCCAAGACAGAACACCCTTTCCCTCCAGCCTTTAATACAAAATGATTAGCCTCTATTCACCAAAGAGCCTAACACTACAGTAGCTAGAAATCCTTCTTAACTTGGAAGACTAGAGTATGGTGTTTCCCTTTTTATTTAGCCCCAGACTCTACTCTTCATCCCTGAACAGAATTCCAAAGCCAGTGTAGATGTATTCCCCTTTCTTTCAGTGAGAAGTGAATTTCCTACTCGGTGATCAAACAAAACTAGCTTTTGCCCTTTTTTCCTACACAAAATGTAGGCACTACTTAGAGGAAGCTTGCTTGTAGAATTTCTGTCTGGGGGCTCCACACTACTCTCTTTTTCCCTATTTTTCTTTCCATCAGCAGTGACTCACCAAAGCCAGCGTTGTTGATTGAAGCCTGTGACTGCTGCTGCTGCTGGTGCTGATGTGGCTGCTGCTGTGGGTGGGAGTGCGGGTGGTGTTGTTGATGCTGGTGGTAGCCTCCATGCTGCATTGGGGGTGGGTGCAGGGACATCACTGGTGGAGGGCCATAACCTTCACCACTCTGCTGCTTTCCTCCTTGGGATGGGCAACCCTCTGGGGTTGGGGTGTGGAGTGGAGGACCACCACCCACTGATGAGGGGCCCTGCTGCTGCTGGTACATGTAGTAGTTGTGGTTGGAGGGCTGCATGTCACCAAGGAGAGAAGAGAAACCTGTAGGGTGAAAGAAAGACGAGGGAGCTTTAACAGGCACCTGAGACCCCTGTTTGAATTATCCATTTCTAATTTCACACTGCTCATCCTGCTATTTATGAAGCTTTTCAAGTGCCCTCTAAAGGCTGCAACCAATTAACACATGCACAGTTACACCCTCGCTGTGCTCCAAGTTCTGTTCAAAGCAAAAGCCCCTCCAATAAAGCCCCAGCAGGATTAAACCTCTAGCACAGTTAGGCACATAAATGCCTCCCTGGATTTGTCCTACATTCATCAAACTGAAGCCTGCTCACCTGAAATTTCACATACATGTTCTCCTAGAAACGACCATTAAGCAAATTTGAAATTAAACAACAAAACATAGAAAACAGAGACGTTGATAAAGCTGATTTGCTGTTTTGAAAAGCTCTCCTCAGTTGCTATCTTCCAGGCAGCTTGATCTGCAACCTTCACAACTTTTCTGATAGAAGTAACTAGGGGTCACACATTCTACTGCTTTTGTACGCAGAGCATATCGCATACATCAGTGCTCCTTATTACTTTTGTTTCCTCCTGACTCATTGGGTGTGTTCTTGCTACCCTCGTCCATTTCAGGCATTCCGTACATGCAAAAGCATCAGGCATTCTCCATTCTTCCTCACATTAGGAGCACAGCTTATTTCTTGTGTCTGCTTCCCCTATTCATTCTTCCCTTATGTTGTAGAACCTCTGGGAAAAATCACAGTGAAAGACACAGCATACCACTAACCTGAGCTACCCATTCCTTACTTTCAGTCTCCTTACTTGATCATCCATAAGTAAGCCTCAGTTTTGCACTGGAGCCAAAACCAGAACTGCTACTAGAATGGGGCGAAAGGGTCAATGCTGTCATCCTCACTCATAGGTCAACCACACAGCTTCCTCAAACTTTGTAAGCTTTCTTAGACCACCTTACAGCAAAAGACTTTAAAAAACAGACTGCTGCTTAGCTTTTACAATCAGAGGCATACACGGAGTAAAGGTTCTCCTTTGGATTTTTGTAGTTTTCTCATTCTACAACATCTCACATAACAGGCTCCTACTAAGAATTTCAAATGTCAGCATGATGCAAGTAGTAAAAATAATGTATTTTTTAATTTCAGTACAGCCACAAGTTTAGGAGGCTCCTCCTATAGAGGCAAATTGTGCCTGTGCTGTATAATGGCTGACAGGTGAGCAGCTGTAAAACAGGAGAGTTGTTCATCTAATAATATATTCCTTTTTACAACAAACTAATATTTGGAAGAATGTTTAAAGGTGGACATAGCAATTTGATACTTTTGTGAAGTTGTTTCTGTGGGCATCCTAGCTCATCCCTGGAGTGACTCTGCCCTCTGGTGGCTGCTTCCTCAATCAGCGAAATCTGGTCTATGAATGCAGTTGTAGGCTGTACCCACCCTAAAATCCACAAAGCTCTATTCTCTAAGGCCTTATCCAATCCTAATTTTAACAGATTTTAGCAACGATGACTTTCCACTTTCCTTTTGGGGAAACTCCACTGCCTACTTGCAACAACCTTCCCCCTCCTATGGTTTCTAGCCTAACAGTCGTGACGTCCGATTATGAATACTTCTCAGTCAAGCTTTTCTTTAGAACTTCATTCCTCTAAGCTTTGCCATTCTTGCTTTAGTATCCACATAAGGTATTTTAAGTTCATTATCCTTTTTATTCTGACAGAACTGGAGGCAGAGATAGAGAAAGGACATGCAAATTTCTTATCTGCCCCTGGCAAAACTAATTACAACATGGCAAGGAAGGAAAGTCTGTTTGCACAGCCTCCTAAAAGAGGGAAGATCTGAGACACATCAAGGATTTATCGGTGGACAAGGCTAGGGCTATGCCCACCCCACATAACACATAAGGTTACTCACCGTGCTGAGAGGAAGATGATCTTTCCAGCATGGATTTGTAGAGATTTCGGAAGGACCAGCTAAGATCCTGGAAGTTGATCTCAGAGTAGGAGAACTTGAAGTCATGGTTGGCACTGTAGAGCGGAGGTGGCACATCGGCCCCTTCACGGCCCTGCCCACCTGCTACCGTAGAGGCTACATCAACAGGCCCTGCACCCTGCTAAAGGACCGTACATGGTAGAAATAAGCCGTCTAGTTTCTACTAGATTTTGTAACTTAAGACAGGGATCCAGAGATGGGATGCAGGGAAAACATGCAATGCTATCAGGTAACACTGGGCTCATCTCCCATCACATCTTCCCAAATGCCATTTTCCTTTGAGGAAAGTCAAATACCATCTTCCTTCTGCAACACAGTCTCCAGCCTATACTTCAGCTATCTACTATCATTATGCCTTTATCCTTATCCCTATCTGTCCCTTTCTTACATTTCACTTCCTCCATATTTTCTTTCTGGCTATGCAACTTTGACTTCTGCCCTTCTTTTTCCCTCTGCACCACTGTTTCTACTATTCCCTCTCTTCTCACCACTTTTCCATTCATGCACTCCTCCCCCTTTCCTCTCCCCTTACTTCTCAAGGCTCCTATCCTTTTCCCTGCTGCTCACCTGACTGTAGTTGGCAATGGGGGTGGTGCTCTGGAGTGATAGCTGAGGGGTGGCCTCAGGTGGCAAAGAGGCTTCTGTGCTGACTGGAACAGCCCCTCGGGGGCTCTTACTTGCCTCTTGCTCTGGGGAGTCTTGTGGTATCTGTGGATGGGGGAAGAAAGAGAAAAGGAAAGGAGCAGAAATCAAAAACAGATGGAGAAGTGAAATTGCAGATGGAAAGCCAACTCCTCTGTTGTAGAAGTTCATGGCTTAGAAAAGAGGACTGGGCCTTAGTTACGGAAGAGTCAGGATAAGGGATTTGAGACAGGATTAAATTTGCTACTGAACAGCAACAACAGCCAGGACAGCAGAACATTCATGTAAGTTCACTCAGTCCTAGCCTTTGTCTTCCCATCTATACTATACAGCCTGCCCCCAAAACGGGACCACAGCCTGATGCTGAAAGTATTTCTTAGAACAAGGGACATGTTCTGTTCCCTTCTGTTCCCCTCCTGTTCTATGCTCTCAGGAAAGAATGACACTCACATCATCATCTGGAGGATGCCGCCTCTTGCGAGATATATCTGGACAGGTATCTATGGTCCAATACGAACCCTGGAAAGAAGACCCATTGGTGAGTGATTGTATTACTAAATCAGAGAGCTTCCTGCAGTAGGCTGTCACTGACCCTAAGGGTACAGCATCAACTAAACATTAGGACCACCCTCCAGGACATCAGACAACTGAGACTTGGGTGTTGGAAAGATATCCCCCTCCTGCACTGCGTCAAATTGAATAATGAGATACAATGCTACTGGTGGAAGGCAGAATGCTCTATGCCTCTATCACTCAAAGACAGGAGACCAAGGGCAAAGGATGTTTTGATCCAAGCTAGACCAACTCCTTTGGATCTACACACCCCCTTCAGTACCTTCCTCACAGCACGGACTTGTTATTGACTAACAAGGACCAACAAAATGTTCAGACTGGGCAAAGAGAGCTAAAGGGACCCCTTCTCTTCAATGCTTGTGAGACTCTCCTTTGAGTACTGCACCTATTTTTGAGCTCCCCAGTGCAAGAAAGACATCGACATACAAGACAGTACCCAGAGGAGGGCCACCATGACAGTTAGAAGACTAAAACACATGATGTGCAGGAGATGCTGAGAAAGATGGGTTTGTTTAGTCTGGAGAAGAAAAGGCTAAGGAGACTTAATCATTATCTTCACCTATGTAATGAGGTTATAGAGGTGACAGAGCCAGACTTTTCTCAGAGACACACAGCAAAAGTAAAAGAGGTAACAAACACAAGTTACAGCAAAGGAAATTCCATTCAGATATGAAGAAAAAATTCTTTACAACAGTGGTGGTGCAGCACTAGAACAAGTGCCCAGAGAAGCTGTGGAATCTCCATCCTTAGAGATATTCAAAACTTGACCTGACAAAGACCTCAGCAACCCAATCTAATTGGCTGTGTTGAGCGTGGGATTGGTTGACCTCCAAAGGTCCCTTCCAACCTAAATTAGTCTATAACTATGTCAGCTCGTTGTTTTCTGAATTATGATAAAGACAACTCTAGGATGTTATTTAGTTCACTTCAGTTTCCAGATGAAATCTGAATAATCGTGACAAGCACAGGACAGGTTTTTATTATAAAACAAGCCCAACACGCCAATGAGCACCTGCAAACATGTACACTGAAGCCAGTTAGGATTTACTGGAAAAAGCCATATAACCAATGGTGTTTTTGAGCAGTGATCTTCAGAGCTGTACAACTTCAATTTCTAGATGCCAACTGAGCACTCAGTCCTTTAAAGATAACCTGTAAAGAAAAAGCCTGGGCAAGCGGCCCTTTCTGATAACTTTACGATGCAGAAAAAAGGACAAGATTTCTGTCCAAACACATAGCTTCACATCCCCACCATTTCCTTCTGCTTGTTTTTTTACAGCAGTCATATCTGCATACAAAGTCTTGGTTTTGCGAGCAATTCTCCTTTACAGTCTGTATATATTAAAAGTTTTACTAGCCCTTATTGAACCAATAAATTGCTAAATTTTAAAAAGTGTTTCTTCCACTTCACCCGATTTTTACAGATTTAAATTATGTTATGGTGATATTTTTTCAGCATCAAATGGATTGCAAGTCTAAATAGGTAGTAGTTCTGTTCTCACTTCCTTGGATCTTGTTTCTGTGAAACCCATGGTGTCATAACCCTGCCATTCACCAGCAGCCTCTAAGGTCTGTCCTAATAGAATAGGTTGGACTAGACCTGCATTTTACACATAAAAATCAAGGAGAAAAAGAAATAAAACTAAACAAGTACATCCAACCCCATTTTTTCTTCCTCTAATATCTTCAAAGTCAATCGAATCACAGATTAAAAAAAAAAAAAAAAACACACCATTTAGGCCCCTTACCAGGTTTCCTTTAAGCAACTGCTTCTGTAGCCAAGCACAGCAGTAAATCTTACTACTGATTCCATTTTTTGCCTACACTTTAGGTTTCAAATTCCAACCATAGCTTAGAAAGGGCAACCCCTGGCTTATTCTCTACAGTTTTAAATTGCTTGCCCAGGAGCATGCAGATTGCTTACCTTCCCAGGATCATCCCTTGGTCGAGGCACCTTCCGAAAACATTTATTCAGAGAGAGGTTGTGACGAATAGAGTTCTGAAGAGAGATTGAGAGATACACATAAGTGCTACAATTAAAATCTATGGAGTTTTGTGTATGCCTAGGAGTGGGCACAGAAAAGAGAAGGATGGTGCATACTCAAAAACCAAAGCTTACTACATATATGCCACAGAATGGGGCAGAAAAGAAGCTGAGGAAAGGAGAGGGATAGGTTAGGCTGAATAACATGGGCTGAATATACACCTACAGAAGATGCAAAGAAAAGAATATCAGTGTGATGCAGAGTTTGGAAGTGATTCTTTTTTTTTTTTTTTTTTCTTTTTGGCAGGGTCCTTCTTAAGGGTTCATCACATACATAACACAAAAAGCTCAGAAAAAATGGGACTTCTGGCTCTGTATTTCCTCCAAGCAGTCAACTTGGTTTCACATCTATCTCTTTTTATTTTGCTGAGTGAGAACATTTTGCACATAAGAAGAAAAAAAGGCTTTTAAACAGAGAGGGCACTTTAGCTTTGAAG